AAGTACTTTACTAAGCTGGACCTGCATAGCTCATATAATGGTCAGGTTATGCCCGGGAGATGAATGGAATGGAAGGATGTATGATGTAAGAAGGCATTCCGTACTTGGACACTGAATATTGGCTAATTCCCTACAGTTTGATTGACGCACCATTTTTTTCAGACCTTCACTAATGAGTACCTTGTTTTTTCATTGTTTAAATATGGAATATCCTTGGATAATCAATGCACATTCACCTCATATTGCAGCAGCTACTAACTAAAAATCTTCTCGTTAAGTTCATCTTAGCATGAGATCAATACCTCCAGTATTCAAGGTAGTCTATGGAGGCAGTCAATCTATGCTAGCACTCATAAATTATACTGTTTTATGGCTCATCCCTGAACCAAGATATAGCCTAATTTGTTAAAACCTGTTCTGATTACATTTACGCAGAATTACCTTGCCAGCTACCCATGGGTCTCCTGGAATCCCTGCCTGACTGGCCTTGGTAAATATCACAATTGATTTTGTTTCTTATCTCCCCAACTCGCAGAGCTTGGCTGCCATTTTGGTCACTGTGGGTAGATTTTCTAAAGCCTGACAGCTGGTGTCACTAAAGGGGCTTCCTTCTACGCTAGAAGCTACGTAAAGTTAACTACACCATGTTTTTCGGAATTATGGGCTACCGGGCCCTCATTTTACTTTCTTGGGTGGGATCTGCCTTTTTCAAGAACTTTCCAGTGTAATTCAGCTTGTCACCTGCTTCTTACTCTTAGCCCAAAGGCTATGGAGCATCTCGAACAAAAAACTGTTCCATCACACTTCAGTATGATTGGTGTAGGATTCTTTTGTGAGCTGAGTATGTGCGAAATTCCCTTACCAGTGAATCAGCTAAGCATTCCCCCCTCCAACGCAGTGCATGCTAGCAGACCCAGTTGTATTGGTCTAGTGAAAGGTTAGTAAGTGTGCCAGCCAACGCACTGCATGTTAGCAGACCCAGTTGTATTGGTCTAGTGAAAGGTTAGTAAGTGTGCCAGCCAAGGCACTGCATGCTAGCAGACCCAGTTGTATTGGTCTAATGAAAGGTTAGTACGTGTGCCAGGTGAGTGAGGTGACACCTATGCATGCCATCCATCAGCAAAAGCGTCCCGGGGGGCGACGCTAATGGGGCGCTCCGCAGTCACAGAGCTTTGGCTCTTCACTGCGACATACGTCTCTGGCTTCCGTCTAAGCCGTGCCCCCGGCTCATTGGTCCTTTCCTCACTGTCAGCAGCATCCTCTGGTAGGGGTGGGAAGGCAGGGCGGGTTCTTTCATGCCCTCACAGACCTCAGTTTCACCCATGCTGAATCTCCTGAAGGCAAAGTTTCACCTCGCCTTCGTAAGGTAGCGCGGGTGTTAATTTCGATCCCCGATCCTCTCGCATACGACCCTTCGCATGTTTTCCCTCTTTATGACTCTGGCCATTCTTTGCCTGGCTTTCGAGTCTGAGACCGGATTAGCGATTTGGCTTCCAGAATTAAGTTCTGTAATTTGCCCTTTCGTCTGCGAGTTTCCTGTAGCCGTGAAAAGCATTACTTGTTGTAACTAAAAGTTAACAGTGTTTCACATAAAATAGTATCATTTTCCAGTAATAGGATCATTTTCATCCTTGCTGTTGAAATCACTCCTGTTTAAATCACATTGCAATACTTAGAAATTTTCCAATACCGTGCTGTCCTATTACATTATACAAAATACTTTCTTTCTTTTCATGCTATCCTGATCTCTGGTTCTTTCGACCAGATCGCAGTTTAGGCTTGGGTCACTTCATTTATTCATGCATCCATTATCATTATTATTATTATTATTATTATTATTATTATTTGACCTCGTTTATCATTATTTTCTAAGTTCACGTTTTCTATTTTGCTTGGTTACTTATAGTTAAGGTTAGGGCTGGGTAGGGGTTAAGGTCGTGTTGGGATTAGAGTTTACCCCATAGAAATGAATGGAGAGTCCCCACAAAGATATAATTAAAATCCTGTGTGTGTGTGTCTCTGTCTGTGTGTGTCTATGTGTGTGTGCATGTCTGTGTGTGTCTGTGTCTGTGTGCGTGTGTGTGTGCGAGCGGGTGTGTGTGTGTCTGTGTGCGTGTGTGTGTGTGTGTGTGTGTGAGCGGGTGTGTGTGTGTGTGCGTGTGTGTGTGTGTGCGAGCGGGTGTGTGTGTGTCTGTGTGCGTGTGTGTGTGTGTGCGTGTGTGTGCCCTGTCACAGGCTGTAGGCCCCTGCCTTGTGCTCCATGCTGTCTGGGACGTTGCTCAGGATAAGTGACAGTAAGATGGATAGAGCACAGATTGAGAAAACTGCTCCCCTAAGTCTGTTCTTCCTGTTATCACTGCCTGACTCATTTCCCGTTCTTTTGAGGCCTGCTTTGGATACCTTTTCTGTTCCATAGCACCAATAACCCTTTAAAACAATGGTTCCTATAATACAGTATGTGACTATGTTATGAAATATGAAACACACAGAATTGTATGAAACAAATCACTGACATTGTACTTTTTTGCCCTGTAATTCTCAGGCAAGAGCTTTTGTTACATTTTCTGCAGTAAAAATAAGTATCCATTTCATATTCATTAATCTTTAAAATGTCCAGGTCAGTAGCCTTCCACACTGTTTGGTCTGACTTTCACACATTTTCAAACTTGCGTATAAATAAATCATGTACTTTAGTCTATTGAGACTGTGCACAGTATGTATAAGATGATGATTACAGTATATTAACCTCTATGATACACTGATATATTTGTAATAGATCCCACTACTTTAGTTACACTGCCAGATTGTGCCCATGTTCATTTTGCAGTGGGGGGGCTGGAATGGGCCTGGACCCTAGACAAACCACAAAGGACCCTCCAAATAATGAACATTTTATGCTATGCTATGTTACCTCACCTTTTATGCACATTTTTTGTCATTTTTTTGTAAATTGGCTAAAAGTCAGATTGAAGATAGGAACTAACCTATGTACTGCTGCAAAATTTGAAATCCTGGCACAATTTTTAATTTTGCAATTATTTAAACAGTTTTTAATTTGTTGGACATGCACATTCGCATCTTGAAGGTCTGCATGCAGAGGATATTCTGTAATGTTGTGACTAAAGCATCAGAGATTTCAGTTCCGTTTGCCCAGGAAATCCTGCTCTGTGCATCAGAATAAACGGCATGTTATTCACAGTAATGCACCAAGTCCACGGAATGATAGGGACTGACAGGCAGTTAGTGCTGAACTGCAGTACAGACCAAAGGTCTTCAGCGTAATTCATTTAAATCAAAAACCTTGTATTTGCATGCAGGTTTATGAGAAGTAATAATTGAAATTGTATTCATGGGTAGTGTGTCGCTTTTATGGGATCAGTCCTTCAGACTTTAGGCATTTTATGAAACACAAAACCAATTCTTTCAAGTGCCATTTTAAGGTGATGTACTTTGAGGCTATTTTCTGCGCTGTTTTGATGAACGAGGCTTTAATGAACATTAAAGCCTACTGCTATGAGGCTTTCAGATCAGACACAGGACACTGCTGAGGGGTAAGCAGGACAAGAAGGTAGGTGTTACAACACAGTGTAAAACTGAGGTTTCAGATTTACATATTTAACATGGGACCATCCATCAAGGTTAATTAAGAAAATGTGTGCTGCTCATTTAACCACAAAGTCCTGCCGTTATCACCCCCACGGCACCTAGGGTCCAAAATTTCCCTTCCCTGTCGAACAATTGACAGTGTTTCAACAGCGGCTACAAGCCAGAACCCCATACCTTCATTTAAAATAGGTCAGGATTAATGAGTTTTGTATAGCTGAGGCCAGCCTCTGTGGGGGTCGGGGGAGGGGGGGGGGCTGGGGATTGGGGGCCATATTGGCAAATCTCTTTTGTTTGGGGAAGCGAGCGCATAAAATTATTATTGGTGTGGTAATTTAAATTTAATCTCACCTCTCGGGGACCGCTTTATAGTCAAGAAGACAGCGAAGAGGCCTGCATCCGTATGGTAATGCAGGCCACATCGAACGTGGGCATATGGCGACTGGTATTCAGGGCTCCCATTAAGGGAAACACGAGGCACTAAGGATGGAGCACAGTACAGGCAAACGAAAACGGCCTTCGGAACACGGCTTGTGTTCTGACCTGCCTCATTTTCTGCTAATTGCTTGCACATTTGATATATTGAATTGAAAACCTTAAGATTGATAATGATTTATTCTTTACTCTTTAAAGTTACTTTCAACGAGTGTCACTTGATTTCACAATGCACTAAAAACTCCACATGACATTTAGAAATGTCTGTCTGTACTGGGGCCGCAATACACAATAACTGGAGGATTTTATTGGAATTTTGTGTATTGTACTCTAAACAGTAATAAATTGTGGTCATTTATCGCCAATTTATATAGGCCTACTTAACACGGATCTGTTGTGATTATGAAGTTGTTTGTTAACATTAATGTTACAATAGACCGTTTAGAGGGTTTGGGTTAAAAAGCTGATATTTATATTTCGTGAGCAACCACACTTTAGTGTAGCCACATTAAATTCTAACGATTGTTTGTCGGTAATTGGTTTGTTTTTAGTTAAGGACGTACCAAATAAATACAGGCGTCAGTGAATGATTAAATGTTGCATTTTGTCTAAACGGCCATTTAATACTGTCGTAAACAAAAGGGACTTCACAAAGGACAATGTGCTTAATGCGCTGATCACAGAGAAAAACGGGCAACTGGTGATGTATGTATTATTAGGAAAAACTGATAGGCCTACACGATGAGAAGATTACGATAAACAGTAAGAGAACAGGTCTCACTGAAGCTGGTTTGTACAGGGAAAGCAAAGCATTTTTACTACGGTATAAATATAAATCATTCACATACACTTCCCTGCCTCCAACACGCAGAAACCTTGGCTTGCAGTTCCCTAATTTGTGTCTCGCGGGGGTTATGATTGCTGGACCGTACCAACTCGGAACAAGGAATGGGGGTGCCGATGAGCGGAAGATGGACTGCGGGGGGAGGCAGAGGAAATGCTCGCCGATAACTTCAGCACCTGGACAGCGACCCGCAGGAGGCTCGTCTGTCCTGCGGTGACTTTTCAGCTGCGTGAGGAGGAGCGATGCGGATGAGCAGCGCGCACTGAGGCCCGTCTGCTAGACCGCGGCTGCTGTCGTCTTGCGGGGCGCTATATTAGTAGCGGTTCGCACCGCGTACTGCTGCAAGAGAGCCTTCGGATCAGGGCGCAGAGGCAGCATCCCCTTCGCTCGCTGCCTGCGGGACTGATCGGGACTGTATTTTTGCTAAGTGGGGGGGCACTTTGGGGGGAGACGGAGCGGGGGACTCGCGTATTTCTTTGTTCCGAAGTGAAAGTGCGAAGATGCCGTGTCTGGGATGGAGGATTGCGCTATTGCTGTGGACGCTGAGCCGCATCCGCAGCTCCGGCGCGGCGCTTCCAGCATCCCGTAAGTGCAGATCGGCCGCCGCACTTTGCGCTTTAATGCGTCGCAGGATGTGTACGAGGCTTCCGATCGGCCATGGGTCCCGGCACCGCTGCTCGGGCTCTTTCTTTGTTATACATGCCTGGATGTCTGCTCGCCTGAATTAAACCTGCCACTTTTATGTACTTCGCCGTTTATTATTATTATTATTGTTAAGAAACCGGCTGTCGGTGCTGCCGTGAAAGGAGCTGAATTGATTTTTACGAATCTGGTTTTAGATTTCCTGACATTTATTTATTCTTTACAAAACAATCTAATTTTGCATTGGCTAGCCTGTGTTGGTTATGTGATATATATGGTGCCCTCATGAAACGCCGTTATATTAGATTGTTATTTGTCTTCTTAAAGTCAGTGTTATTTACAGTTTGGTTGCTAGATAAATATAAAAGGTCTGTTTTGATGTTACGTGCATCCCAGTGTGGAAGCGCAACTTTCTACTAGCGGGCAGTCAAACCTCACAGTCGCGTCGCCGGAAAGACGCTGATTTACAGCCGCTTCTCTCGTAAACTTGGTTTGTTGTCGTACAAGCAAGTAATTAACGTGGCATTTCAGACACATTACCTCCGTGCCGAACGATGACGAAACTTTCCATGATTTTGATATTGTATTACATTGTAATGAACATGGGTGAACATTTGGATAGATCTTTGTCTTTATTGTTCCCATTGCTGTTCATTGCATCCTTTCCCAATCTGTTGTGTTTAAAAAAAAACCAACAGCTGCTCCTATCTGGGGACCAAGAGAAGTCGGTGACACGTTTGTGACTGAGCATTTTTGTACAATATGACCACTAATTGCAAAACATGACTGTAACACCTGGGGCGTCATTTGTAACCTTAAAAGCATATGATGTCATACATTTATAGCTTTTGTTTCTGTAATAAATGTGTCACAGGTCTTCCGGTTTCGATTTCCTACGTAGTCTTTGTATTTTAAAGGCTATACAATGTTAAAATATACCTACAGGGGAACTTTATTTCTAAAATCGCGTTTATAGCTGAATCAGGGTCCCTCCATTCCTTCGGATATTGACAGATTTCTCGAACTTTTAAAATGTTTGATATTTTAAAACGCGCCTCTCCAAACACCGAGATCCCCCTTTGCACAGCAAAACGACTCTCTGCGTGTAACTTAATATGACTAAAAAGCTAAGGGTAACTAAATGGGATACGCGCTCACTGTTAGTTCTGTGCCGTAATGTCAGACGCAGAAAGCGGGCTTTACCGTTCGCTTTGCGTGTTTTGTGCAGCTGCATTTCATCGCTCCCTATTGCTGCGTTATGATCTGCCACACATCCTGAACAGTCCTGCTCATTGCTCATTTAATGAAAGATACGCTTTTTTATAGCCATCTAAGCAAAACTATGTAGCAAATGCTGTTTATCATTCTGCTTGTTTTCCTGCACCTGTCTCCTTAGAGTTTGAGTTGTGCATATTGATTTATGTTTCAAGGCACTTTATGGCCCGCAAACACGTTGGGTATTAAGGAGCCCCAGACCTAAATGGAGCTTTTCCTGCAAGGCTGACCAGCTCCACACCACTTCCCATTTGCTGAGCAGCTCAGTGTGCGTGCCAGGCCCGCTGGAGGCTTGTTGATGCCGGAGACTGGCATCCGCTAATGCACCTACAGGTTTTACCAGCGAGGTTGCTTCCTTGCGTCCCTTTCGATATCACCTTCCTAGGGATGGTGGCATTACATAAACCTGTTATTACGTGTGTGTGGACTGGCAGCGTTCGCAAGTTCATCTTATTTTATATAAATCATTACCACAATCCTGTAATTTTCACTACGAACACTTTTTTAATTATTATTTTTTAGACTGTGTGTTTTTTGCATCACGTAAGGAAACGAGGAGCTGATAGCTTATCCCAGGCTGCAGATCGTTTCTTTAAAGTTGCATTAATGTAAGGGTGGGGTGGGGGTGCGTATTGTTTTGTCTGGGGAGCTGTGTGTCACCCCCCCCCAGCACACCGGAGGCACCGCGGTGACAGCCGGAAACGGGGGGACGAAAGAAAGCTGAATGTGGACAAGGAGCGGCTCCGCCATCTGTTTCCTGCGTCGCAGGTCACTCTTCGACCCCCGTGTAAATTGAAAAGCTTCCATCCACCTGGTCCTCTCAGCGTAAAAAAAGAGAAAACAGTACACAGCATTATGAGGGGCACCTAAAAGTTTCCTGCTTTAGAGAACTTCCAGGACTCGTTTCGTTCAGTTACAGACACACCTTAGACAGAGACACCAGGTGGCTGGACTGTCCTGCCAACAGAGGACAGACATGATTGTCTTTACTTACAGGCCAATGTTTTGTTCGTTGTCTTTTTCCCATTAATTTTCCAAACTAATTTGCGTATAAGATTCACTTATGCACCACTAGAGTTTTTGGGCCCCATGAAAACATATCATATGAGCCCCCCAACCCAACCGATGCAATTATGATCTTAAATTTTAATCTCAATTTTTGGGATCATCCTAACACCCCCCCTTACAGCGCACCAGGTTATCATTAACGATAGCCTAAATTAATTAATTACCAGGATAAGTGTAGTGAGCATGTTTCATATGTCCAAATAGTGCACTGTCCTATGATTGTGATTGTGTGTAACTGCTATGGTGAAATGCGCTCAGGCAGAGCTGCGGTAATGCAGAGGACAGGGTCATTGTATTACCTGCATGGGTTGTGTGTGACTGCTTTGGTGAAATGCGCTCGAGCAGAGCTGTGGTAATGCAGAGGACAGGGTCATTGTATTACCTGCAAGGGGCTTAAAAAAAAAAAAAAAAAAGCTGACATAAACAAGGGCGATAAGGCTGCGCGTGTCGCTGCAGGAATAAACTAAGAGGGAGTCCAATCCGGACGGGACGCCTGTGGTCCGGTCCATGTCTAAGACTGTTCCATTATGTGCTGTGTGCAGCCGTCGTCTTCACCTGACTGCAGCTGTGGTCTTGCACCCCAGGCTGTCATGATTTCCAGTTTTATTTTTGTTAAATTACAGTAAGGCACTTTTTAAAGTTAATTGCACGTTGTGTATCCGCCGTAAGATTGATTTATTGCTGCTGTGAGGAGCCACAGGTCTTTAGCTGGAGCACATTAAAACAGTGGGACCCACAGCCATGTGACTCCGGCCTGTAAAGTCAAGCAGAAAAGTGCACACTGGGTGCAAACGTTGATGCTGGCATGTAATTGGCATGTAATTTTCCAAAAGCAATTACTGGCTGCCATCCCATGCAGTATGAGCCCCAGCCCTGTGCCTCCTGTAACGTCCCATGCAGTATGAGCCCCAGCCCTGTGCCCTCTGTAACATCCCATGCAGTATGAGCCCCAGCCCTGTGCCTTCTGTAACATCCCATGCAGTATGAGCCCCAGCCCTGTGCCCGCTGTAACATCCCATGCAGTATGAGCCCCAGCCCTGTGCCCACTGTAACGTCCCATGCAGTATGAGCCCCAGCCCTGTGCCCGCTGTAACGTCCCATGCAGTATGAGCCCCAGCCCTGTGCCCGCTGTAACGCCCCATGCAGTATGAGCCCCAGCCCTGTGCCAGCTGTAATGTCCCATGCAGGGTGAGCCCCAGCCCTGTGCCCGCTGTAACGCCCCATGCAATATGAGCCCCAGCCCTGTGCCCGCTGTAACGTCCCATGCAGTGTGAGCCCCAGCCCTGTGCCCGCTGTAACGTCCCATGCAGGGTGAGCCCCAGCCTTGTGCCAGCTGTAACGCCCCATGCAGTATGAGCCCCAGCCCTGTGCCAGCTGTAACGCCCCATGCAGTATGAGCCCCAGGCCTGTGCCTGCTGAAACGTCCCATGCAGGGTGAGCCCCAGCCCTGTGCCAGCTGTAACGTCCCATGCAGGGTGAGCCCCAGCCCTGTGCCTGCTGTAACATCCCATGCAGTATGAGCCCCAGCCCTGTGGCCGCTGTAAAGTGGGCTAGACTCTAGGTCTCCCATAACCCAGCCAGAATAAGTGGGTAGGTGTTGGATGGAGAGAGGGGTCTGTCTGCGGATTGTGTCTAGTACTTTTCTAAATCGCATTAACCAGGTCATTTTTCTCAGAATAGCTCAATGGCATAAACCTACCTGTATTGTTGTGGGTGTAACTTGTACTGGGCGTTGTAGTCTTGCGGGCTGCAGATGGACACTTTTGGATGGATGGATGGATGGGTGGATGAATGGGTGGGTGGATGGACAGATAGGCTATGTGCAGACGTGATCCTCTGCATTCCCAGGCATCCTCCGGGCTACAGGAAAGGGGAAGAAGATTTGATGCTGAATGAAAGTTCTCCTGGTTGTAGAGAGGAGACTCAGAATTACAGGTGGGAAGTGCAGGACTTTGAGCTGATCTTCTGACAGTGGTAGTGAGTCGTTTCACAGAATACACCCACTGATCTAACTGAACTTTATTTTTAACACTTCACTCTGTAAGATGTACACACACACGTAGTAAAGGAGAGAGTGATAGACTAAGCCGGCATTTCAGTGTAAAGGTCTATTAAACCCCCAACAAGCGTGTCTACAGAGCAGAGTGTCAATATGCTGCATGTAGTTGTATGGTTATACATCGGAGGTGGGACCAAATTGATTTCTGAATAAATTACAGTACATTAAATAAATGTTTTATAAAATACAATGTATTATTCTAGAAAATTCATTTACTACTCAGACACTGTCAGTATAGATTGAGCGATGTCCCCATAATATCCTAAATACATCTGTACTGTTTTATGTACATATTCATTAGTCTGGATAGAAGTATCGGATCGGATGGTGTACCTTATAGTTAATAGTATCAGGATAAGCATGTATTGCTTTTCTGCCGAAAATGCTTAATTTCTTCATTAAAATATACCAAGACCTTTATGAACTTGGATAAAATTCCACGCTGTGATTTTGTTATTTCATATTTCTACCGAGCATTTACCGATACTCCTGCTTAGAGACAGGAAAGCCTGCGCCGTCGTTCTTCATTTCACCGCGCCGCTTCCAGCCCGGGCACTCGAGACTGATGCGTATCGGATGGCTGATGTCTCACGGAGATTGGCAAGGTGGCTGGATCCTGTCAAGCCACATCTACTGCATATACCGCTGAAAGGATAGTGAGAGAAATGTGAAAATATGGGTAAAATATGCGGAGCACAGTACGGTTAGGAGTCTACCTGTCTGCTAGAGGGCACCGCCTCTCGGTTTCAGGACTTTTCAGTGTATTTTAGGTTTAGGGGGCTTCTGGGATCTGTTTTTAACATGCATGGAACTCAATATTAATCCTCAGCTCCGGTAATCTGTACCTTAACTTTGGAAAGCCAGTGTTTCTTTCTGGTTTTTGAGTTTCTCTAACTGGCTACGGCTTTCAGTCAGACAGACCGGCTCTCCAGTTCTCAGTATTTGAGATACGCTCTGTTCACATTACCCATGTAATTATATATGCTAATGAATATTGTTTGTTTGCAGTAAGAGCGGGACCAGCGGCTGGGGGGGTCACCGGGAAGCGGCGCTAGCGGCCATTTCTTTACCTCCAGCTTAAGTCTCGCATGGGATGACTAAGAGCTCCCAGAAAAACAGCATTAAATGATTTAAAAACAGAAAGACATTAACCTTTGCTGGCATCTCCCACACCGAAGATGCTCAGCAGAGCTGCTGTCGGTCTGCGGCCCCGGGGCTGATTTACCTCTCGGGTCCAGCTTCAGTCATCCGCTGCAGGCTGATCGCATCCCAGCCCGCCTGAATATTCATGGGCCGGGATTTTGCCGGAACGTTATAAGGTGGCCCCTGCAGCGTCAGCCTGGTCGCGGAGCCTGAGCGAGCGAGGGCTGAAAAGCGTGAGCTAATCATCGGATAAAAGCCTGGCTGAGAGAGTTATATATTTATCTAATGTCTCTTTAACGAACTGCGCGGTGTTGCTAAACTTATCATTTTTCTGGACTATAAACTAATTTGTCATACCCTGCCAATGCGGCGGCAGCTGGTTGCCGACCCAGGCGCGCCGCCGACACGCTCCGGTTATCTCCGCGGGGGCGCACCGCCTCGCCGGTATCAGCCCGGTCCAGCCGTGCTGACCGGCCACATTGCTGCCGTTCGCTTACACCGCCTCCGTGCCGTCATTGATCCTTTTTATTGCAAAATTCTCATTAACTGCTTGTGTTTGGATTTAGCCTTTCCGGCTTCGCCAGGTGCAGTTTGTATTGGATATAAACGGCTTAGCTGACCGCTGCAGGTCCGAAGCTGAAGGAATCCTTGGATTTATTTTGCCCCTAATCCCTGTCTGGAAAGACAACCATAATTTTTTTTCGAAATATTTATAACACAATATGAAATAGGCGGTAGCCATTTAAACGGCAGCACTGGCTCTGGGTAGAGATGCTAGCAGCACAGACAAGAAAGTGAGGAAGGAGCCGAACAGACGAATCACTCCGGGCCCCTTAATTAAGGTGCCTTTAGGTTGACCCTTAAGTTATCACGCTCCGCACAGATGTGTATTCACTTTGGTCCTTTTCCCAAACTGTCGCTTTTCACACCAATTCCATTCAAATTCGTTTTAATTAAATGTGCAGTGTTTTAAGAGGACATCCTGATTCAAGCCTCGATGTGACGCTACCTGTACACGTGACTTTCTTATCAGCAGCGTCTGGCTCGCATATGGTGGCGAGTTTTCCAGATTGAGGATTTTTATTGGCTGTGTGCAGTAGCCGCATTGAAACGCCGGCTCATTCAGCCACACTCGGGTTCAAAAAGAAGTGCAGACTATTACACATAATCTGAAACAGTGAAAAAACGAGACAGTATGCTGATTAAGTGACCGTGCTCCTTACACTGAGAGTAATTGTGTGTTTTGCCTTGTGGAAGACGCCTCTCCAGTGGACCCCTGTGAAGAGAGGCTTCATTTAATTGGCAAGCAAATAAACAATGAAAAGAAATTTACAGAAGCTGTACCTGGAGACAGACTTTAAACTCTCCTGCGTTTAATCGGGGGTAATAATTGTTTTTCCTGCCTAAGTTTAATCCGTAAGAACCCCTAGAATGAAGGAAGCCTTTAGCTTTCCACGAGGACATCTGCAGCAGCAATTATCCTCCGAAACTTGTGTTTTTTTCCTGCTTTCTTTGTCATTCGCTCCGAGGCCTTGTCAGTCCGCTCCTCCAGACCTGGGCTTTATCTAAGGCAGACAGGTGGCCTCTCGATAGTCGCAAGGTCTGTCGCAAGCATTAATCAAGCAATAGGACAGAATTAACCGGGCCACTGCAGAGCTCACCATCGCCTTTTCAGACGTTTGAATTCTGTCCATTCATCTTAGGACCGCTTATCTCGGTCAGGGTCGCAGGGATGTTCGAATCATCAAGTCAGACATTTCTAAACAATCAATGGTCCTGCTCTCGAAAGAAACATTTCCGAACCGTCGCTCTTTAGCAAAGTTTTCAGCGGCTCTTGGGAAAGCGAAGCCTTCTGCTCTGCACCACTTGGGATTAGCTCCAAGCCCGCGAGACCTTGTGCCGGTGACACTGCTGTGGAAGAGGGATGTGGAAGGAACATTTCATAACAGAATAGACTTCAGTAAGTTTCTACACAGAAAAAAATAACAAACTTTTGTATTATTTTTATACCTAGAAACATAATTTACTTGCTGTTGAAGAAATTTTAAACGCTTGTATGTTTTCCTTTTTTTCAAACAAAGCCACACCCAGCTTTGTAACAGAGCGGAGGTACGTCTAAGCGGTCGGGACCTAAGTGGCGTTCATGGCTTCATGCTGGTTCCTTAGGCTGTATGGGAGCTGCCCATTAACTCACTGCCTACCCTGGGAAACAGGAGGCGAGACTCCGAAAGGAAGCCGTCGTCCCGCGCCGGGGTTCCCGGGCAGGCCGGCAGAGGGGCCCGGGCAGGCCGTTGGGCTGAGGCGTCTGGCGGGCGTGACGGGAGCTGCGGGGCGGGCAGGATCACCTGCAGATCGGCAGCGCAGTGCCGCATGGGCTGCGGGACACCGGCTTTGCTGGTGTGCAGCTCCGCTCGCTAATATGCCAACGACAGGCTATTAGCGCGCAGTTTGATGGGCGCTTCGGGCAGGCTCTAAAGCTGGGGCTTCCCCAGGCTGCGGAGTGCCACGCAAGGACGTGACAGCTGTGCCTTTGTACATGGGGCGGTGGTATTTTTGCCCCATACCTTTAGGATTTGGGTTCGAGTCTGCGCCCCCAATCTTTGTGTGAGGTGTATGTAATTGTGGGGTTTCCTCTGGGTCTCCCCCCCCCCCCCCCCCCCGCGGGGGGGGGGGGGGGGGGG